AATAATTTAAACAAATAAAATCTTCTCCACTAGGTGGTGCCAATATCCTGTTACAAAACACCACCACTCTCCACCCTTCACCACTACCAAAAAGCCTGATGTTTTTGTTTTGATATTGAAATTTCACGTCTAAGTTGCTACATGGAGAATTTCTCTTTAGTTATAGGTTGGACTGTGCGTCTTTAACTTTCAATTTTGTGGTGTCCCAATTACCGGGAAAATACATTAGTTAAATATCAAATGTAGTTCCCAACATTGTAAGTAGAGACTACTTTCCATGACCTTAAAATTTTGATAAGTCCAGTTCCTTTGCCTTTATTAAGTTTTTGGAACAAAGAGATGCAAAGTTTCCTATCAATTTATTTGATTAAAATCACTTTTATTAAAGGAATACCTCTACCCAAAATGTAGTTCATGTGCAAAGAGTTTGGCCCGGAGGCCAATAATTTTTTCTGCTTACTATTCCAATTTCAAACAATATGTTTATACTTCTAATTCTTGATCTTTCAAATTTAGTTACTTTTAACAAGAAATAAAGTATAAGGCCATATCTCTTCCTACCAGCTCCTCACAATCTTACTTTGTGTATAGGTGTTTATCAGACCTAAGGAATTCTCATACGATTACCTTTTCTTTTTTTTTTTTTTTTAACCACAAATAATTTTTAACACTCCAGTGCTTTCTTTCACAATTTTAAGTAGCATCACTGGATTTTGTAAGAAAAGAAAGTATCATCCCTTCTCCATTTCCCCACATTCTGTTACTGACCAGCCTAACTTGACTCTAGGCCTCAGCTCTTCTATTCTTCAGGCCATTCTGTACAAAACCACAAGTGATTTTTGCAAATCTAATCACATCACTCCTGTGATTAAAATTCTTCTAAGACATCTCCTTTTTACTAAGGAGTCTTCATTCCTTACCTCCACCTGGACGGAAACACATTATCTGGATCTTGCTATTTTCTCCAATCTCTTCTCATATGTGTCCCACTTATTAACTGGGACCGCTCTACCCTGGTTTGTTTATAATTTGTTAAGCATTTCAAAACTTGTCTCTCTTTAGTTTTTTTTTTCTTTTTTTTAAGATTTTTTTCTCTAGTTGTTTCTTCCTCTAGAATATTTGTACTAGAGATTTTTGATGACTGGCTTTGCTTCATTTTTCAGATCTCTATTCAAATGCTGCTTGCTCAAAGCCATCCAGTTTTTACTAGTCGATTCCCAAGTCTAGCTCATCTAATGTCGCAACAGTTCCACCCCAAGTCCTTTCCTTTGGCCCTGGTTTCCTTCATATCTTAGTTTTTTATATTTATTTTTTAGTTTTAGGTGGACACAGTATCTTTATTTTGTCTTTATGTGGTGTTGAGGATCGAACCCAGTGCCTTGCGCATTCCAGGCGAGTGTGCTACCACTTGAGCCACATCTCCAGCCCCATATCTTAGTTTATAATTCAGTCTATCACTCTCAAAGTATAAGCTAACTGAAATTGAGGACTGTCTGTGTTTGTATGGTAGAATAATTTTCAATAATATTTAATATCTTCTCTCTTCAAGTACATCTTGACTATTTTTGTTGTAATCCCCAATACATGGAATTTTTATTACCAACTATGTCATAGCAAAAATAGTTCAAGTAATAATTCACCATATTGAGTTATAACAATAGTTAAGCATTTCTTATGTTAGGATGTTTATTTGTGGGAATCAACAAAAAAAACCTACAGGTTCAAGCTTAATAAAAAACATTCTCAAAAATTTCTAAGTAAGCAATAAGTTATTTTGCTCCAAATAATCAAACCATCAACATGTATGTACAAAATTTTCTCAAATTAAATTGGCAGTTCTTAAAGAAAATTGAATAGGGACTTATTAAACAGGCAGCATAAAAATATTTTTCAAAGTGTGAAAATGTTTTTTCATGTTTGACTTATCTTAAAAGTTTTAAAAGTTTCCATGTTATGCTTCCAATTACAGATTAGTAAGTAAAGTCAGTGTTCTTATATCCAAGTATTTGTTTGGATTTAAACAACAAATGTTTCACCCTATGAATTTATTGTCATTTAATCATCATTTACCTTTTATTTACTTTCAAATTTAAGAGAATGGTATTATTTTCTTTGTATCTTTGAGTTTTTTTAATTGTCCCATTATGATTATAGATAATAGTGGGATTCAGAAAACTTTACTTAAATGTTTACTTTTTTTGTACATTTGCTCTATTTTTCTAAAATCACTTTTTTTGGAGAAAAAAGAGTAGAGTAGGAGATATTTTTAAATAGCCTACTTCTTAACTTAGATTATGGTAGAATATACTAAAAACCCAAACTACAAAATCAATTTAGAAAAAAATAAAGCAAGTGAACAAAATGAAAATGGAAAAAAGCAAATATTTTGCATCAAATTTCTTTCCTATCTTCTCATGGATATACATGAGTATACTTTATATGCATACTTGTCATACTGCCTAGCACTTGAAGTCACAAAATGATGAATGAATGAATGAATGAATGAAATGAAACTAGGAGACTTCCCATTTGATCTCTAGGCATATTAGACAGCAGCAAATGTAAAAATACAAAAGACGAGGAGGAAACAATGTTAGTGCACTTAAAAGCTGTTCCATGAACCCAGAAACTCCAATTTCTGTAATTCCACTGTGCATCTGGTCTATGTGTCCCAACTTTGAATTTACGATACAGTTTTGAAGCAAGGAATCACTTTAATTTAGCTTAAAAAAGAAAAAAAAAATCTTTCAGGAACCTTTGAAGGAACATTCTATAATCACTTTTCTATCTATTATATTTCCAGTTAACAAGGTTTATGAGAAACTTGGCTTTCTAAGTTAAAATGTCAAAACAAATAAAAGTGTTCTGTCAAATCTTTATGTTCTTTTTCTTTTATTATTTCATGCTGGGTTTTTTTTTTCTCTCTGTTCCATTACTTTATTTTCTCCGAGTTTTTTTTGCAACGCTTCTTTAATTTTAAGCAAAAATGTAACACATTTTCCCAATTACCTCATGCCCTTTTTAGGTACAAGGTTCTGAGATTTATTAAAGTTAAGAAATGGATAAAGTGCACATTAGTTAACTGAGCACAAAACAGATTGGTTGGCAGAATCTCAAAGACCTAGGCATGTGGGGGGATGGTATGGGGGGAGGAGGCATAACTGCAAAGAAGGAAAAGTGATAGACTGAAAAAAAACAGAGACTTAGTGGATAAAAACAGATCAATTTCAACTTTGGATCAAACCTTAGTAACCAAAGGACAAAAATGAAAACTGTTTACTAACCTGTTTTTGAACTAACATATAGAACTTCTCCCTTAGAATGATGTCAGTTTGCACTGTGTAAATATTTAGTTTCAGTTTAAAATTGTATGCTGGAAGGGCAGCATATGCTTTGCCAGAATATGCCTAAATTTACAGTGAACAAGACCCACCTTAGTACACCTCTCACTTTCCCACCGTCTCTGAGGATGGTGTCTGTACCCCTGGTCACTCTCTGTAGTGCTTCATCCCTCTCCTCTACCTGGGAGCACCTGGTGTTCAAGAATTACTCTGTCCTTTTCTTATTGTTACCTTCCATTTCTACCTTCCCCCACTAAAATGGTAATAACATTGCCAGGTTATAATAATTCACAAGAAATTATGGAGGATAATTAAAGTATTGATTCAGAGTGTTTGTCATTCCAGGTAAATTACAGAATGGTTGAATTTATGAAAACATCAACTTGCAAAGTATTTCAGAAGAAGAGAAGATATTAAGGACAACTGAGATATTGCATGGGATTACACTTTGTGTTCTAGTCATATAGGTAAAAACCCATATACCTATTGAAAGAATCCTCCAAGCAAGACAATTCGCTGGGAAGAATTCCAATTTTATTGCAAAAGGCTGTGTGCTTCTATAGATCTAAGGAGAGATGGCAGGGCTTAAATGGCAGGCCACCCATTTATTGGCAAGTTCTTCCAGATATCAGTCTGGAGCCCAGGAATTAGTTCTTACTGGGACTAAGGTTTTCCGCCACCGAGATTTGAAATTGGCGTCCGCAGGAGAGTTCACAACCACGGGAACTTTTCGCGCCAGTGAAAAAAAGGGAAAGTAGGAAGAGAAGGTCATTAGGCGCCATGTTGGGGTTTTTTTCTGGAGTGCGGCTGCTGTTATACTTTTCCCAACACAAACAGAATGGATCTGAATTGAGTCTTCTGACTCCATGGTGGGCCTCGAATCCACATTCTAAGCACAGTCTACAACCGTCCTGTTCTGCTGTGAATCTTCCCAGTCCCCAGAGAGCTCCTGCCTTGAAGGCTTGAACCTCAGGGGAGCAGTGCTTTGTGTTGTGGTCATCAGATAGGTGAATGGATCAAAGGCGCTGTGAGTTCAGGAATGGATGGAGACATTGGTGATTGTGTATCTTGGTGGGCTAGGGGTAAATGGTAGAGATTAGGACGTGGGCCCAGCAGGAGGAGATAGGTCACTGAGGACATGATCTCTGGGTGCATGTTTTGTCCAGGGCACCTCCCCTTCTCCACTCTCTTCATCAGGGACCAGCAGGGTCAGAAGGTGCCCCACAGGGTCTGCACTGCTGGCCCCCAGGCAGCTCAAGAGCCTCCCACCTTCCCAAGCACTTGAGAGTCCTTGTTTGCCCAGGGGACCTCCACAGGACCCAGGAGTCCCTCTTGCCTTGCTCTATTCCCAATACTGCAGAACCACCCCTTCGCTCAAACAGATGGTGGCCCAGCCCCACTCAGAGCAGGATGCAACCCAGACAAATCTCCCTGGTCCCCCTGAAAGCATCCAAGCGAGGAGATCTGTGAGGAAGAGAAATTTATTAAGAACCAGCCATGTCTGCCATGCCAGAAACAGGGGGCAGAGGAGAGCACAGCGGAGGGAGGGGCATCCCAGGAAAAGGATTCCCCAGTCTTTCTTGCAGACCAGGGAGGGGGTCGGTGGTAGAGCACTTGTCTCCAGGTGTCCTGTCCCCAGCAGGCCCTCTGGACTGGAACTCATAGGAAGGAGGTGCCTGCAGGTGGCACGCCTCTATGGAGCACCTGCGCCATGCTGATCACATCCTTGCCAACTGCCTGAAGGGAAAGACAAGGACTGGCCTGAGCCTGAGCACATCACACCCCCTTCTCGGTACCCACCCAGGGACAGCGGGTTATGTCCTGGGGAAGGCCATCAGGGATGGCGCAAGGTCCGCATCAGGCTGCACCCACCCACCTGCTTGGCTGCGCCTCCATCTCAACTGGCCACCATCTCAGGAACCACTTTGTTTCGCAATCTACGTGCCCACCCTTCTGGGATCCGAGCCACCCCGTTTTCCTGCCTGGGCCCTGTCCTGGGGGCCGCCATGCAGCAACAGCACATTCGTGTGAAGCAGGTGAGGATCCTCCTGGTCACCCTCCGCCAGGCCTTGGTGCCTTCCTGGGAGGAGCCCGCTGTCCCTCCTTGGGCTTGCTGCCTGGGGAGGGCCTGCTCTCCTCCTGACACTCCCTGGGGGCTGATGCTGCCCTCCACCTGGGACCTGTGGCCTCCAGACCCAGGGCCAGGAGGCAGGGAGGCAAGGTCCTGCTGCAGGGCCCTGCCGGGGGCAGCTGGGCTCTGGGCCTGCAGGCTGGGGAGGGCCAGGGCAGGCAGGCTGCCTCCCTTGCTGCCCCTCTGCCCGGGCCGCAGGTGCTCCCCACGCGGCTGCTGTACAGCTGGCATGACCCGCCTGGAGTGAGAGGTGGGCTTGCTGGCGCTCCTCTGGCGGGGTAGGGTGGCTGGGAGAGACGACCTGGGCTGGAGCCCCGAGTGCACAGACCTCCTCTGGACCGTGAAGCCCACCCCCTGCTTGTGCTGGTGCCTGAGCAGGAGATAGGTAGCCATGGCTTCATCAAACTTTCGTCCCTTCAGGGACGTCCAGGTGTCAGTGAGGTCGAAACCCAGGTCAAGCATGACCTTCACTGTGGAGAGATCTGGGCAGAAGCGGCGGCGGGACTTCCTGGTAGCAATCACAAAAGGGCACTGACCCCATTTCAGCCACGGGTGCCTCGCGACTTCGGCCATGCTGGGCCTCTCCATGGTGTCCACGGTCAGCATCTCCGCCACCAGGTCCTGAGCGTGGATGGACACGTGGGCCGGTAAGACCCAGGAGCGGTGCAGCACCTGGTCCCTCAGCTCCTCGAGGGTGTCCCCTTCAAAGGGCAGGTGCCCCGTCAGCATCAAGTAGAGGAGGACACCCAGGCTCCACACGTCCACCGCGGGCCCGATGTACGCCTGCTGGAGGAACATCTCCGGGGCCCAGTAGGTGACCATGCCGCACACTGTCCAGCAGGTCTCCCCGCCTGAACTGGCAGCCCAGGCTGAAGTCGCACAGCTTGATGTGGCCGCACGCATCCAGCAGGATGTTCTCCGCCTTCACGTCCCTGTGCGCGATGCCCTGGGCGTGGCACGTGCGCAGGGCGCTCGCCACCTGCTCCAACAGTCCCTGCTCCTCCCGCTCAGGCAGGCCCACCTCCTCTGGGATGTACTGCAGCAGCTGGCCCCAACCAGCGTACTCCATCACCAGGTACACACGGTCAGCCGTCTCCATCACCTGGAACAGCTGCACCACGCTGGGGTGCTCCACGGCCTTCATGATGGCCACCTTGGCCTGAAGGAAGGCCGGGTCCAGCTCGCCCTTGCTCACGGTTTTCACCGCCACCTCCGCCCCCGTCAGGATGTGGCGGGCCAGCCTCACAGTGCCAAAGTTGCCCTGCCCGATGGACCTCAGCACCTCATACTGGCCCGTCAGGGCATCCTCCGAGGACGAGCTGGCCTCCAGGCCCTGCTGGGGGCTCCTGGGCACCCTACTCTGACTCTCACTACTCTCTCTAGGCATCAGGAGTCGGCCACGCCACCCGAGGATGCTACCTTAAAACAACACAACAAACCAAACCAACTGCCACAAGCAGGCCCCAAGCAGAGTTCATGCCAGACACAGGACCGCCTCTGCCCACAGGTAGACCCCTGCTGGAGCTCATCCATGGCCTCGCAGACCTGCAGGGGAGCCCAGGCAAGGGGAGGCCAGGTTCCACCCCGCCACCTGCAGAACCCCACCAGAGCTGCAGCTCTGCCCAGATCCAACTCATATACCTGGCAGGAGACAGAGCCTGAGCCCAGGATAGCCCAAGTCCATCCAGTCACCATGAGCTCAGGCTCCGCCCACAACTGTCACCGAGCTCAGGCTCCGCCCACAACGGACTCCGCCCAATGAAAAACCGTTGCTCCACCAACTGACCCCTGCTGGATCTCAGGTTCCGCCTAGATCTACATTGCCGACATGCCCGAGAGCCAGGGGACAGTGTATCCCCAGGTCCGTAAAGCCTCTGTGAGACCCCCACCAGAGCTCAGGTTCGGTCTGGACAACCTGCATCCACCAGCCAACCACACTGGAGCTCAGGAATGCCTCTGCCCACTGGAACTCCCGCCGGAACTCAGGCATGGCCCACGATCTCCTCTGGCCACAGACAGCCAACTGCCGGGGCTCAGTATTGGCCCAGATCAGCTTCTATGACCTGAGCGGGAGCGGGAGCACAGGGTAAGCCCTTGTCTTTCCCGCCACCGCAGACCCCAGCAGGAGCTCAGTCAACCATGCAGATTTGCAGGGGAGCCTCAGCACAGTTAGGCCGGAGTTCATCCCACCACCAGGATACACTGGCTGGAGCTTAGCATCCACCCAAGATCGCCTCTGCCCACAGGAAGACACACTCCGGAGCTCACTCCAGGGCTTCTGAGCAGATCACCAAGGCGTATCTGGGTCGCAGATGAGCTGGGGCTGGGGTCTGCCTGTGGGCGGAGACTGTCCTGTGTCTGGTCTGAGCTCTGCTCAGGGCCTGCTTGTGGCCCTTGTTCCCAGGCCTACCTTGGGCCAGGCTCCTGTGCCTATCAGTGAAGCTGATCTGGGCTGGGGCTGAACTTCAGCAACTGTTTTTCATTGGGCGGAGTCCGTTGTGGGCGGAGCCTGAGCTCCGGTCGAGGGGAGGCCAAGCTGCATCAGCCACTTGCAGACCCCGACCAGAGATCCAACTGGACGAGCTGGCCTCCAGGCCCCGCTGGGGGCTCCTGGGCGCCCTACTCTGACTCTCACTACTCTCTCTAGGCATCAGGAGCGGCCACGCCACCCAAGGATGCTACCTTAAAACAACACAACAAACCAAACCAACAAACAAAGCAAGACTAAAACAACACAACAACACCCCAAATCAAAGAACCAAGACACAAACCAGAACCGCCAACCACCAACCACCAAACGCACTAACTAGCTGGGAGTCCGACAGGTCACCACCAAGAGCTTCCTGCACAATGGACAAAGCCCAGCTGTGGCCGCTGCCTTTTATAGAGCCCCTCGGAATGCCCTGACAATCGCCCCTTGTGAGGTCTCGGCCACAAATGGCCCTGTGCGCCCTGCCTGGCCCATGGTGCTCCTCTCCCTGGGGATTCTGGCCCCCAGGACCTTGGCACTGGTCATGTTGTGAAGATCAAAGTCCACAAGCTCACAGACAGGTGTGTCCTGCCCACCCACAGTGTCTTACGCACCTTCCAAGGCCCTGGCGTGTGTGGTCCCAACACCCATAGCTCCTTTGGCCTTTGGTCCATAGCACCTCCACCCTCCTTTGTCTGCCACCTCAGGGAGGTTGGTGTCCTAATGTGGTGGCCCTTCACTCACATAACCGCACCCTCACACAATGCCCTGTCCCCTAAGACACCCGGGTCTAGCTTCTTCACTCCAACGGGGCTGAGAGCAAAGGAGCCTTGGTCCACATTTCCCCCAGAATTTCTGAGACACCTCCCTCTCCAGGAACCCTGGAACCCCCAAGGCAGTGGTTTCAACTATGCAAAGAGGTCCAGGACACACCTGTAGGCCACCAATCCTAGGCTCCACAAATGGGTTCTCCCCATGGCACAGAGAAACACAGGTGTGCCCAGAGGTCTTGCCCTGTCACACTCCTGCCCCTCACCATCTTAGGCTAGCTCATAACAATAAATCCATGGGTTCAAGTTCTGGGTATCCCGGGGTCTGATGAGTCCAAGGTCAGGTGGCCAGGAGATTTGGTGTGTGCACAGAACTAGCTTCCTTCTCCCTCACTTGGCTTCCTTGCTTTGTCCTCAAGAGGTGGAGAGGAAGAAGGAGTAAACTCTACTCTACCTCCTCCTTACCCCAGCTTTCCTATTACCACCTTCCTTTTTTTTTCTAACTTACATTTTTTTTCATCCCACTAGTTGTGGACACTGGAGATTAATATACCACACAAGAACTTGACCCCTTAGCTCTACACTGTTCCCAAGATGAACTTCAAAATGGTGCTCCCAAGTACTCAGTCTCAACCTTTGAAGGCATTTCAAGTGGGCACTATCTTACCAGTCTTCATAATTTTGACTGCATGTGTGTGTGTGTGTGTGTGTGTGTGTGTGTGTGAATGCATGGGCACAAGTGATATTGGGCACATGTGATATTGGGGAGCTATCTAGAGTCTGTGCCAGCTCCCCGAGTGTACCAGAAAATGCCATAATTTCTTCCTTAAGGCTGAATATAGTCCATTGTGTATATATGCCACAGTCTCTTTATCCATACATCTGTTGAAGGGCACCTAGGTTTGTTCCATAGCTTAGTTTTTGTGAACTGAGCTGCTCTAAACATTGATGTGGCTGTATCAATGTAGTAGGCTGATTTTAAGTCCTTTGGGTATAAACCAAGGTGTGGGATTGCTGTGTCAAATAGTGGTTCCATTCCAAGTTTTCTATGAATCTCCATACAGAGTTGTTGCATCAATTTGCAGCCCCACCAGCAATGTATTTAGTGAAACTTTTCCCTACATCCTTGCCAATATTTGTTGTTATTTGTATTTTTTATAATTGCCTAACTCTAGAGTGAGATAAAATTTGAGTTAGTTTTATTTACATTGCTCTAATTGCTAGGGATGTTGAACATTTTTTCACAGTTTTTGAACAATAGTATTTCTTCTTCTGTGAAATACCTTTTCAGTTCCTTTTCCTGCCGCAGTCTGGCTGGGCACAAAATCACGAGCCACTCAAGCAGGAACAAACTTTATTATTTTTTGAAACTGCCACCAATGTCCCGTAAGCGCCCGGGAAGATTTTCGATCCACCCACGCGGCCTCCTCCAGGACCCGCAGAGAGCTCCTCCTCCGGAACTCCCTCCTACTGTACTTCCCCAACCAATGGGAACTCTCCAGGAGTCCCGTAGCCGGCCTAGGTGAACAGCAGGAGTCCAATATCCATATGAATGCAAATCTTAACATAATCATATCATCTCAATGGCTAGCTGGCATCACCTTTCGACCAAAAATGCCATGCATCATATACTTGGCTCTTAGCATCTCCCCCCTTCTGTTTAAGTAACAAGCAATCTGGCTAGGGACCGTGCCTGTTAGGTTTGTCCAATTCAACATATGGTTCTTACCCGTCATTGGAAAACTGACTTTTAGGCATCAGCCTCCTGTCTTAGGTTGATACCACTGCAATTGGATCATACCCGTCACTGACTACCGGTCCAGCATATAGCCATACTTGTGGATAGGCCTATGTACCAGTGGGGGGGGGGTGAGGTTCTTTGCCTCACCTCTGTTGGCCCCCAAATTTGGCCTTGGTGCCGGTGGGGGGGTGAGGTTCTTTACCTCACCTCTGTTGGCCCCCAAAATTAGACCATCACTAGTAGAAGGGAGGAGGATACAGAAATGTCATGACACCAAGTCAATTAACGGCTCCTAGGAAAAATTGCATCACTGGTGACACATCAGCAAAGATACACTAGCACTACCATAATTCGATGCATCAACAAATAGATCACAAAGCATACAAGTGATACATAGTCCAGGCAAGTTCTGTAAGCAGTTCAAAGCAGAGGAATCTATCAATATGTCCATATCCTCCCAAAATAAAGCATACAAGTGATACATAGTCCAGGCAAGTTTTGTAAGCAGTTCAAAGCAGAGGAATCTATCAATATGTCCATATCCTTCCAAAATAAATCGACTCATTGATTGAGCATTACTTGTTGAGTTATAAATCATTGATGTATCAGTTTACACGGTTTGTTGTGATAACTCTCGAAGAAGTTGTAGTTTGGTTTTATCTTTGTCTTCACCGGCACTGGGATGAAAATAGGAATTTTGACAATGATGCTAAAAAAAATATGTAACATTTCAACAGGTACTAAGAAAACAATATTTAGAACAATTTACATTATCCTGAACAGAATTATTAAAACAAAAACAAAAAAGGAAAATGCTTTTATTTGTGACTAATTCTGTAAGGAAAGAAAACATTTTCATAAACCAAGTGTTAGTCACAGAGCCAAGCATTTATTCTACGTATCACTCATGTAAAGGAAACAAAATAATTGACTACTAAGATAATCCTGTAACTTCTCTACTAGCTAGAATGTACTCTCTTAACAGAGAAAGCAGATTTTCTGGTTATTTTTTTTCCACCTGCACCAGAGATCCATTTATTTCCCAAAGATTTTTCAGATATTCTGCAACATTCTGCAAAGCCTCCCATGGTCCAAATATTTGGAGGAAAAAGAGAGAAGGTGCCTATTTGATAGTGATTGGCAAAAAAACAGTAGCTCACAATACTCAAACCCAGACAAGCAGAATAATAATTTAAAAAAAATTAAGGTTTTTCAAAACTTCTCAAAATTTTTATAATTCCTGTAGGATATCTGCATTGAATATCCAGTTAAATGGTTAGTATTCACCAAGGGAAATAACTAAAGGCAAAAGATCAAAAGGGTTAGTTGACTGACAGAAACCAAGGGGTAAAAAAATCTACTTCACTGGGCTGGGGCTGTAGCTCAGTGGCAAAGTGCTTGCCTTG